TAAATTATTAGAAAGTATTCATAATAACTATTGTGAACATTTCATGCAATAAAATTGAAAATATTTCCTTATCTTTATATTTGTATTTAATGGTGATTCTTTCAACCAGTGGTGCAGAATCTACCCGCGTGCGCGACCGGTCGGTCGGGGAAAATTCTGGAAATTTATTAGCACTTGGGGAAATTTTTTGAAAATTGTTACATCTGGAGAAGACTTTTGGAAAACTATTGAATCTGGTCAAGTTTCCGAGAGTCGTTACATATAAGAGAATTTTCCGAGAGATTTCCCCGGTCGGGGAAAATTTCCCTTTTTGCGGCAGATTCTGCACCTCTGCTTTCAACTCTAAGTAACTTCAGTGGAAAACATTCGCGAGTTTGTTTCAAGAATTAGAGTATGGGAATGCGAATGAGATAATCAGCCACTGTAAGTTGTTTTGCTGAATTGTAATCGATTCCAAATTCCAGTAGGTTACGAAATATTATTCTTTAAGACTGTAGACGAATCATCCACAATTTTACAGGTAATTTTAGATTGATTTATCAATTCCTACATGTCGTATATTGGTTTCAACTTGTTATCATCTTGACACTTGGTAAATAAATTATAAGAAAAATTTATTTATATATGAGTAAAAATTTTCTATATTACAAATTAAAACTTTTAGGGTGTGGGGTGTGGGTGTGGGTGTGATTGTTACTCTTGTTATCACCTACACCCACACCCACACCCACACTCACAAATGTGATCTGGTCGGTTCCCATTCGCTACCAAGAGCCTAGATTGCAAGCGGAAATCACGAGATTTTTCCACAAACTTTCCACCCGTTTTCGCTAGAATATGACAGGAAAGACGGTGGAGAAATCCGATAATTTTGAGTCTGGAATACTGCTTCCATGAAATTTCCGGAATAGCCTAGAACCAGCCATTCCCGTGCTGCATTGTTCGACATGGGAATGCAACAAGTCTAACTTTTCTACTTGAGAGGAACTGATCAGGACTAAAATTAAAATGTGCACCGTTGTATCTTTGAAAGAAATAATGAGCAGAAAGGTAGGTCGAAGTTTCAACTTGAATCATGGAATTAGTGTTGGTACCAAACTCAGACTTAAACTAATTCAATCAGATCCCTGTCTGACTAACATCTATTCACGATGACAACATTTATATAAGTTTATCTGTTACGTTCGAGCTCGTCTCAAGTATGAAATTAATCAAAATAAACCTTTCAAATTGCTACTTGAAGAGAAATACAAATATAGTGGCATGTAAGAGCATTTTAATTTTCATCTGCACAATAAAATTATCTCAAAAAATTTATATTGTTTAAATAATACTTTTCATAGTTCCTGTTTTTTTTATTTTATTTGGTAGGAAGAAAATGCATGCTTACATGAACATCGAAGTTTTTTCTATGAAAATTAGTGCTATTGAAAAATGAAAATTAAACATGGTTTACCTAAATTGACTTTTTTCATATTTATTTATTCTTGTTTAATATTGAAACGTTTAGAAACTGCATTAAATGAATAGATTATCATACTCCAGAAAAAAAGGTAAATACAAGTTTCAAGTATACAATTAAGTAAAACTAAGAAATAGAAAAAATGAATACAATTAAAATAAACTTGAAATCAAGCGTGTGGGTGTGAGTATGTGAGTTTTGTTCACCGGAACCCACGTCCACCCGCACACCCACATCCACACTCCATACCCACGCCCTCACCCCAACCTACATCCACACCCACATACGACACACACGAACACGATTAAGAATGAAAGATGTTGATCGACTATCATCAACCATATAACTTGGTCAATAAAATTTTTTCGAGTCCATCAATCAAAAAAAGTCTACTTTATCAAGAATCTTGAGCAAGCACAGAAGGAGACACATTATGAAATATATCATTTGTCACGTCCACATTGCATAGTAAAGTAGTAATAGAATATTGTGGAGAGTATTCAGTGAAAAATATTTTAGTTAAAACATGTCCTCGATTAAGTATATGCAAAATGATAAATAGTCAAAATACTGAGAGTACAATTTTGTTTTCTGTGCCATTCGATACTTTTTTTCACTATACAAGTTAAAAATTCTACGAATTTCCCATTTCGATGAATATCTCCAAATACTTTGTCACTTTTTAGATATTATCTTATATGAAATTCGTTTTTAAAAACCATAATTGATGACAGATGCAGCAGATGTCAGTTCAAGTGAGAGATAAATGTTGTTACAAAAAGCAATTGGAATATCACTATTAAGAATGTTTTTTATATTAGTTACATTGGTATTAAATTGAATCATGAACGTTGCTTGTGTAGCAGTTGTATTGAATAGTCTATCAGCAAATAAAAATGTCGATTTTATACCCATCTCTAACAAAGAAAATAGAAAATGATCAATACTCATGTTGTCTTCATTACATCTTGTACATCAATGTACAGTTCATTTCGAAAACGAAATACTACCAAAACTATCTTATTCATGATTAACGGACTTGTTAAATCAAAATCAGTTAACTATCTACGATGACTGTTCATCACAGATGAACACGCCGACACTGAATATCGACACGAGAATTGATAGATTTCTTAACTATGCCGGGCATTGATTATCTGATCTCTCTAGATATATGTTGACCTCACCGAATCGATGTGTTTGCAAAGTTTGATTACGATCATTTCTTTCTTTCAACAAGAACGTGAAGCTGATGTTCATATCGACAAATCTGCCACAGAACACAGTTAAATGCCAAGAATAAGATAAAGGATGTGCGTTCTGATATTGTTTTGGTATTTTGAAATGCTGAACGAGTGTGACGGGCATTGTTTTTACAACGAACGAGCATCGGCCAATATTCCAAGAGATGCTGGCAAATGTTTCTATATCTTCCTCGATAAAACAATATGTGAGAGGTTCTGTCCATTCGTTGTCTATCTGTTCTTCAATAAGGGACACATTAATACTCATAAGACTAATGCTATCGGATCGTTCAGGGTGTGGGTGTGGGTGTGGGTGGGTGTGGGGTGTGGATGTGGGTGTGGGTGGGTGTGGGTGTGTGGGTGTGTTGGTGGGTGTGGGTATGGGTGGGTGTGTGGTGTGAGTGTGGGTATGGGTGGGGTGTGAGCGTGGATGTGTGGGTGTGGTTGTGGTTGTGGGTGTGTAAGTGTGGGCGTGTGTGTGCGGATGTGGGTGAGGGTGTAGGGTGTGTGGTGTGATTGTAGAGAGATGAACCCACACCCGCACCCACACCCGCACCCGCACCCATACCCACACCCACACCCCACCCACACCCACACCCGCCCACACCCACCCACACTCACACCCCACCCACACCCACACCCACACCCCACACCACCCACCCACACCACCTACCCACACCCTTCTACTTTTCTTTTAGTTTCCATTATGGATCAGTTTAAACGAAGTAGCAGGATAGTTTACTCCAAACAAAATGAGTTATCTGGAGTTTTTAGACTAGTGTGAACAAGGATCGATGGAGCATTCTCAAAAAAATGGACTAGTCTTAACGTGTGCAGATGACACTTCAAACTAGTCAAGTTTCTGTTCTCCGACGGGTGTCAAATTGCCTAGCAGATGGATGAGCATCATTCTGCTATTTGGACGGTTAAAACTGCCGTTAGTCTATCGATATGCTATAGTCTGCCCTTATGTTGCCCATCAGATATCGAATACTGTCGGGTCAAATGTTCAAATCTACTTTTCGTCTTCTTTTTTTCTTATTTTTCTGTTTTGCTGACTAGTTTGGACGCAGTTAACGGACAAAACGGACTAGACATGACGGGTATTGCAAACATTTCGGACTAGTCATTTTGACCGGCTTCACTTATTTTCTTGATCACCTGGGCAGAGTGGGTTTATATTTATGTGTGCACGTGTGCAGTCACTTGTTGATAAAAAAGAAGCAGTTCACATAAAGCGATCATACGACTCTGTAATTTATCACATTTGGAATAAAAAGAAACGCAACATCTTTCTCAAAAGTATAAAAAATCCATGAACTGCACAATCAACTTTATTTTATCCCTCATAAAATAAAAACAAAGTCGAAAAAAATAACGTTACACGACAAAAAATAAAAATAATATGGCATCATTCAGTGATTTACTAGGAGCTCCAATCATCTCATATACCTCATTGCGTGTTGGTAAGTTTGAATATTGTTGTTTTCGTTCTAAATTTCGTTTTGAATGAAAGATAATCTTCACCCTGATGTTAATGAGGCTATGTTATTCGACAAATTTACAACTGTTGGTCCAGTTTCATCAATTCGAGTCTTTCGTGATATAATTACACGACGATCACTTGGCTATGCTGAAGTCAATTTTCAACAAGCAGCTGATGGTATGTCAGTTTACTAACTATTGCAATAGGACGATATGTGATTGAATGAAATGAGAAAAAGAATAAAAAACGATTGTTCGCTTTTTATTTATATTCGAGTTATAGGATATTACCAAAATCCAGTAGAATTGCTTTTGATAAAAGATGTTCTTCCATAAATAAAAAATTCTATCGTTTCAGCTGAATATGCATTCGATACAATGAATTTTGATTTACCTCATGGTCGTCCATTACATATTATGCGGTGTCAACGTGATTCAGCATTACGTAAATCGGATGTTACCAAAGTTTTTATTGAAAATTTAGATGAAAGAATTGATGATAAATTACTTTATGATACATTTTCGGCTTTTGGCAATGTCTTATCATGCAAAGTAAATTTATTTATCTGTTATATAAACTAATTTTTTATAATTATTTTCATTTGATTTTATTAATAGATCATGATAGAAAAAAATAATTAATCAAAAGGTTATGGTTTCGTTCATTTCGAAACACAAGATGCAGCAGATAATGCTATTAAAAAAGTCAATGGTATGTCATTGGCTGACAAAAAAGTTCATGTTAGTCGTTTGATGTCATCTAATCAACAAATCGACGTTGATGGAGCACGTCAATTGACGGATATATTTATTAATAATTTCGGTGATCAATTAGATGAAGAAAAATTACGTGAAATTTTATCAAAACATGGAAAAGTTTTAAGTTGTAAAGTAAACTATCTGATTGTTTTTCGTTTTTGTAATCGGAAATAATCAACCTAATCCATTTTTTAGATTGAATATGATGAAAATGGACATTCAAAAGGTTTTGGTTTTTGTAGTTTTGAAAATCCAAAAGAAGCTGAAGAAGTAAAATGAAGAAAAAGAAAACAATATGAAATTAAAGGAAAAAAACATAATTTATTTTTCTAGGCTGTTCAAAATTTAAATGGATATTCAATTGGGGATAAACAACGTTGGGTTGGCCGTTTTCAAACGAAAAGTGAACAATTATCGAACATAACGCGTAAAAAAGATTTACAACGACAGGAACGTATGAATGAATATCAAAATGTTAATTGATACAATTTATACATTAGCAATTTGGATGATACTATTGATGATGAACGATTAAAAAAAGAATTTTCAAAATTTGGAACAATAACTAGTGCTAAAGTAACTTCATATTCTTCTTCTATAGATGTTTTTTAGAATTATATTCGCTTTTTCTATTATTTAGGTTATGGCAGAAAATGGTCGATCAAAAGGTTTTGGTTTCGTTTCTTTTAGTACAACGGATGAAGCAGCAAAAGCTATTACTGAAATGAATGGTTCTTTTGTCGGTTCTAAACCACTTTATGTTGCATTAGCTCAAAGAAAAAAAGAACGTCGTATGCATTTAACTAATCATCATATGCAATATATTGCAACAGCACATGTATCACCACAAATGCAATTACCATTTCCAAATGGAATGTGTCTTATGATGCCATACTTATTAACACCAATGGATCCACCACAACCATGTAACTTCTCTCCATCAGCATCAATGCCAACTTATCAACTACTACAACCATGTTGGTCATCATCTCCTGTAACTGCCGATGCTATGAGACCACAAACAAGTACTCAAATGATTGATATACGAATCTCACCATCAGCTATGACTGATGTTGCATCTCGATCAACAATGCCAATGGGAACTCAACCAACATCAAAATCAGAACAAATGATGCCTAACACTTCTGTTCGACCACTCGTTGGAGTACAATCACAACAAGCAACAGCTTATACTCGCACAGCACGAAATATGCCACCTAATGTCTGTATTCAAATTGAATAAAAAAAAATAATAATAATTTTGTTTTTAGAATCCAACTGGATTTTCAGATTCAATTGTTGTTGCTGAACAAGAACCATTAACATTAGCTGCTCTTGCTAATGCAACACCATTAGAGCAAAAACAAATGTTAGGTGAACGTTTACTTCCATTGATTCAACAAATTCAACTAGAATTAGTTGGTAAAATAACTGGTATGCTTCTTGAAATTGATAATACTGAACTTCTTCATATGCTCGAATCAAGTGAATTACTTAAAGCTGAAGTATGTTTATTCAACTTTAAAATAAATTATTTTATTTTTATTTTATATTAGGTTGAACAAGCTATTGCCATACTTCAAACATATCAAGCCAAACAAGCAGCAACTAATTCAGCTGCTCAAAAAAATCAAATATCATCATTTAAAAAAATAAAAATACAACAAAATCCAAGCAAATGCATTGGCACATATACAGACACATAGATTGTCTTTTGTTTTTTTTTTCTTCTGCGTCGTTTACTATTGTTCATTTCTGTTATTAAATATGAAAAACATAGCTCGCTACAAAATCATTATTAAATATAAAGAAATTTACCAAAAACACTCATGCTTTTTGTTTTTCAAATACGTTCTATTTAACGAGCAGAAAAGAGTAAAAATCAAAAAAAAAATGAAGTTCAATACAAATGACACTCAAAACATCTAATAACGTTCATACTGCTTTTCCAGAAAATGACTAGATGCTCATGGTGTAAAAAAATGCCAGATGTTGATAGATTAAGTCAATCACTATCAGAGCCCTTTTACTTTTCATATTATTTATTTGTACATATCCTTGTCTCTATTTTATTATTATGATTCCGTTTATAATGATATGAATAAATAGAGAAAAACAACTTACATGATTTCTACTTAATATTTATAAACCTTCCTATTCTATCAAAGAGCGACAGCGTTATTTCTATTGTTCTGTTGGTTGATTAGTTGATCAAATGAAAACAGTGGGTATTTTTGAGTTATACAAGTTATCATAATGCACAATATTTGTGTATAGGAGATGGAAATTAGGATATTAAATTTACTGCAAAACTATCATTAGACTCAATGTTAATAACTCTCTCTCTCTCTTCTCTTTGTATTGGCATATCGATCCTTTTATTCCAAAAAAAGAAGTAAAAAACACAAATACATACCATAAGAACAGACAAGACAGAATAATGTATACAAACACATCAATTTGAGAAACATTTTCTTCTTCATTGATCGGATTGTTTACTTATTCATTCTATTTAAAATTATTTTCAACAAAATATGGAATCAATACATAATATTCTTGACTAATTTAGATTGAAAATGTCAGAGAAATTTCACAGTGTAATTGAAATATTTCCTGTTGAATTATGGCGAGAAATATTTGAATATTTCAATTCAAATGATTTATGGTATTCATTTCGTGGTTTAAATAGAAGAATTGATGGAATTATTGATCGAACAGTGTTATATTTAAATTTTACAAAGCGAGGTACTTATAGTTACTTTATGAAAAATATTTTATCACCAATGAAGGTTATTAATGTTCGATCATTAAAATTTACGAATTCCAATGAAATACAACATTTTTTTTCGAATTTTTCTCTTGATTCATTATTTCATCTTCGTTTATTATCTTTAAAGTTTATGTATTCTTTTAATGATAATTCATTTACATTCTGGAATCAACTTTCATCTTTGAAATATCTACAATCATTGAAAATTATATTTTGGGGCAATCAAGTCGGACCCGATAATATTATTAAAGAAAATGAATTTATTATTCGTTCAATATTTAATAAAGATTATTGTCCATTACTGAAATCTTTGACCATCAATATTGATCGTACGCAAAGCGTAATGTCATTAATACCTTCGTTAATTCCAACAACTAAAGTAACAAATATCAAATATCTGTCGCTTGATTCATTGACATTTAATGATTTTATTAAATTACTTCCTGCTTTACAAAATGTTAAATCATTTTATATAGATAGCGAGTTATGTTTGGACAATGAATCTAATGAACCGCAACCGAATATGACAATTACAATACCATTACTGCCTAAATGTACTCGATTACATGTCGGATTATCAAACGATATAATGTTGGAACACGTTGAATATTTATTAAAACATACTCCAAACTTAAAGGATTTATTTGTATGGGGTTGGTATCATTTACTTGATGCAAAAAGATGGAAATCGTTACTATCAATGCAATGTCCGAAATTAAAAAAATTTGAATTAATATGTAGTGGCCCCACTGATGATAATGATTTTGATCAAGCAATAGAGGATTTTGAACAAAAATGTAGAAAAACACCATTTTGGCGTCAACGAAATATCTCAGTTGAATATGTAAATGGTTCAGATGATGATGATTCTGAGATTATTTTTCGATTTAATATTAAAAAAGTGAGTTTTATGTAGATATTAAAGCCATCGACACATTAGAAGACCCGGGGTCTTCTATTCTGTCTTATTGTTCATAAGTTAAAAGGGAGTCTTCTATTATGTCCCTAAGAAAACTCATATTTTTTGGCAATCCCACGAACAAATCTTAGTTTCACTTGATTTTTGTCCAATATATCGTTAGCAAATGAGTTCGTTTCACTTATTTCACATATGTAGAATAAGAAAGAAACAGATATTATCCTGTGAAAAAAGGAAGACCATCGTTGGTGAGAAGTGTTCTTAGAACAATACAATCAATGTAGCCTACCATCTTGGTATGATATCCCATATCGTTCTTTTTTCTCTGGGCTAAGACCTATCACTGGCAACATTTTACCTTCTCAATAACTAAACAAATGTAAAAAAGAAAATTAATCTTTTTTATCAAACTCATTTTATTCAGTTGCTTATTTAGAGATTTGAGTAGTATAGATGGATTCTATTCATAGTGAATTCTGATGCTAGCAGAGTTATTAATCTCAAGCTAACTTCAATGAATACGATTGTCTTGTGAAGAAACCATCTACAGAAAATCAGCAGTTGAATACACACACACTGTCTTTTCTTTTGCGTCTGTTTTAAAAATGTCATGTATTTTATGAAAAAAAAAAAGAAATGCGTTCTCAAACTCAAAAGAAATACTCACATATCAAATGTCGACATATATACAGTCTGCACAAAAATTCTGGGACACTCAAGAATGGCTCTCCGAAATTTCATCTTTTATGTGAAATAAACTTTATATATATTTATTAGTATAGTTACTGGTTAAACTTTCGTACCTTACTCTACAGACGCGAAACTTCTAGTTTTAATATTATATGAAAGTTTAACCAGTAACTGTACTTAAAATATATATAAAGTTTGTTTCAAATGGAGTATAAAATTTTGCAGAGCCGTTCTTGAATGTGCCAGAATTTTTTGCGTAGACTGTATATGAAGTTATGTTTTCTTCAATTATGAAAGACTGTTTTGTGGTGAAAACGTTTCTGATTGTCTAGAAGAAAGTCAAAAATGAAGAGACCTTTTAATTAATACAAAGCGGCATTTTATCGAATCTGTTGCTATTGTACAAAGACCCTTCATGTGTTACATGCACGAACGGGCACTGCGTTTATTAGATCCCAAGACCATGGAAACTTGTTTTTCATGTATAGAGCCTGGCGAATGTTTTCAAAGTAAGCTGCAAAGGAGTACTAAAATGACTCCATGATATATTTTTACAAAGAAACGCAATCTTTAATAGATTGTTGTTTCCTATTAGCTGCTTCTCAGGGTTTTACTCATTCGATAAATACTAAACAAGTCAATAAACTCTGGAAATTATTTCAAAATATTGATTTTTTAAGGGGCTCTTCTAATATGTCTTTTGCGTCATTTATTCAAGGGGGGGGGGGGGGGGGGGGGCTTCTAATATAGGAGGGTCTTCTAATGTGTCGATGGCTTTAACTGATTTTCTGCACTAAGAACTATCCTAAAAAATATCAGTAAAAGAAAGGAAATAATTTCTATTTGAAATGAAAAAATATTTAAGATAGAATATTTTTGTGACAATATGTATGAGTTCTGCATTTTGGTATATGAAGGACTGCACTGATCATTTTTTCTTTTCATTTTAGTCAAAACAACGAATCAAATAGAACTGAACGATCAAATAGATTGTACTTTGTTAACGAACATATTTTTTTCACTTAAAGTTTTCTCTTGTATTGTTTTTGTTACAAGTTTATTTTTGTTTCTTGTTTTTCTATGTAAGAGGCATATGAATAAACATAGTTATTGCATTTTGTCAAGTATATTTGTCTGATGTGGAAAAATCGATTTTAGTGTAGAAATTTCTCATAATGAATGAGTTTTTTGGTAAGATTATACAGGATTAGGTAGGATTCTATGACTAAATTTTTTTAGCTTTTCTACCGTTTAAAAGTACTAATGTTCTGGAAAGTAGTGAGTGTCAACTTTGTTTTACAAAGTACCACCACATAATTTAGAGAAACTACTTGAAGGTTCTAACTGATATTCATTTATCTTGTATCTAAGTGAAGATCTTTATTTGAAAAAACTTTTACTCTTTTACTATAAATTTCTCCACTATTTTTCGTATTGACTAATTGTTGCATCGACTAATTTTGGCGTTGATCAATTCTCATAGTGATGGATTCTCATAGTGATGGATTTCCATTTTCCTAGATTTTTCTTCGTTGCAGCAGTACCAGTACTTTCAGACATGGAGTTCGTTGAAATGGCATTTTATTTGTACTGTTTAGTTGTTTCGTTTAGACCTACACAGATCGGTGAGGTATTGTTGAAAACACCCTGATCTTTGAGTAATCTTTTGCCCATCCTTCATAGAAAGCTGTATCTTCACACAAGACGAAAACTGAATCTACTTGGGACATTTTGTGTATGCGTGGAACAGTTTGTTGTCCAAGTGAACTCGAGATAATAATACATGCCTTTTGATTCTTGATTCCTGGCAGAAAAGACAAGTATTGCTCAGTATCTGTGAATGTGTCGATGTTGTTAATTCTAAGTGATATATAACTCGCTCTGACTAGTAAAAACCGATTTTCAAGCAAAAAAATGCATGTTCGCCTGCTATGCGAAAGTTGCCTACTGTGTACCGTTTAGTTCGCGTTACGATTGCAAGATAATTGTAGTTTTTCACGATAATATATATTTATTTTGACTTCTATCCTGGTAGTAGTGTTTATATGCTAAGTTACACATCTAGTGATTTCTTTCGCGTACGAATGATGAATATTATCGAACGAAACTAACTTACATGATTGAACTGAACACCGACTACATATGTAAGAAAGAGAAAAATAATATACAATGGTGTGCTTTTTTAGATTTGTTTTTGTTCACTATTTCGTTTGAAAACAATTTTACATGAACGACGCAAAATACGATTTCCCATTTAGTTTGCACTTTTATCGGCCCATTATTTTATACCTGTCGAATGATTCAAAGATGATTTTTCTATCATCAATACACGTTTTTCTAGCCCGCATGACTATTTTACGCAGAAGCACGGGAACAGAAAAGGTAAAGAAAAAAAACAACTTTTTTTTCTATCTTTCTATGAAGAAAAAACATCAATGTACAGAGCAATACACACTATTAGAGGTGTTAGCCGATCCCTTTTCCGGCGGCGGCGGCGAAAAAGTTTCAAAATACCGGCGGCGGCGGCGCGTCAAGTCCGCCGAGGAAACTGTTGTCAGCGGCGGCGGTGAAATTGTTCGTGCATCGTTTCTGTTTATTCGTGGTTCGCTACTACTGAAACAAACATTACACGTTCCGTTCTCACAGAAATATAACATTATATATCTCCTTCAACGTGGATCTCCTTTTCTAAAAAGATTTTTCACTATACGTCAGTTTATTTTCATCAAGTCAAGACTTTCAATATTTTAAGGTACAATAAGTTGAAAAATAACAATAGCGTATGCTAGAAGCGGAAACAATAGTAGTATCATTTCAATCTACTTGTTTGTCAAAGCAAATTTTGCAATAAATTAAATTGTTATCGATCGCTTCTTTCATTTTTAATGATGTCAGCTGACCGACGTATGACCATGCAAGAGAGTGACCGGTCTTGAAAGAGCGGAGCTTGATGTAAACATCTCGAACACAGTGCGTCATTCTAGCAGAATAATCAGTTTTTCTTCACCTGCCAGATATAATACAATGTTAACAAGAATGTCAGTTGTGTCACTGAATGTGCAATGCGAACGCAACTATTTATATGTTTCATACCTTTTTTTCTCTCGCCTAATTGATTATTCAGAAAAGGAAGAAGTTTGAACTAGAGATTCTAATTCGATCGACGGCGGCGGCGGCGAAAAATTCCTCGCCGGAACTCCCTCTTCGGCGGCGGCGGATGAAAATTTTATCGGCGGCGGCGGCGAAAAATCGGCGGCTAACACCTCTACACACTATATAATGGTCAGATGAAAGGAACATGCTCGCTCTGTATCGATAAAAAACAGCAACAATTCGTCCCTCATATCCTTTATTTATATATAGAGGAAGACTTGTTTTTTTTAAACAATCTTATTTATTCTCTGAATAAATTATATTTAATTGAACATCATCAGATTTCTTTCGAATGTTAACTTCCGATAGTGAATTAGATTCATCTAGATCGATCGATAATGAAAAATCAAGAAAATATTCTCGCGAATGTCGAATATGTGGAGCTCCGGCTGAATATAGATATTTTGGTATTATTGCATGTACTTCATGCAAAACATTCTTTAAACGAAATGCTAATTCTACAAAGGTTAGTTCAATATTTTCATTTCGTTTTATTCTGATATGATTTTATTCAGATACGATTTAAATGTGATAATAATGATCAATGTAAAATCAATATAAATAATCATCATATATGCACTTCATGTCGACTTGCTAAATGTTTTCAATGTGGAATGAGTACCGACATGTTTCGAGCACCAAGACAAACAAAACCAAAATCGATTAGTCTAGTTATAGCACAAATAAAGGATCAACCAGAACGGGTGAGATTATTGAAAAATTCAATGTTAATCTACACTTGAAGAAGTGCATCAGGATATTGAAATAATCATTTCTAATATGCATTTGTTATCTATAATCGTCGTTGGACTGAACTACTTCTAACCTGTGTGTATGAGATCTGCAACTAAAAAAACCCATGACGAAACTTTTTTTATCATAAGAAATGCAAAAATCAAAGGAACATTGAAATGTGAAGTCTATAAATAACGTTCATGTTGTTTCCTTACGTTTTTTAGCATTGGTTAATAATTGTGTTAGAAAGTGATCATAAAAAAAGCATCATAGGAAATTTTACAATCGGATCGATCATTATTGACTACTGATCAATGGACTCTTCTCTCCAATTTATTTCATATTTATAATGAAAGCCAGCTTTCATCAATCGGCCAATGTTTAATAGACACATCTGCTGTTCTACAATCTACTAATATAAGCTGTCAATCACTGATGCAAGAATTCTTAACATGCATTTATGAAACAACAGGAACTTATCTTCGTTTCAATGATGATCTTCGTAAACTATCATTTGATAATCGTTCGATAACACTTTCTAATGTTGCAAACAATGTATCCTGTCTGGGTTGTGCATTCGTCGTGCAACATTTTCATTTATTTGCTCTGGAAATTTTCTCAAATACTTTGGAAGTTATGTATGGAAAACCTACAGTCGATATTTATCGCTGGACGATGAAATTTATCGATCTAGATATTGTTTTGATTAAATTAGCACTCTCATTGTTTGTTTTTTCTGGAAATACTTGTTCATATTCTCCGAATATCTCAACAGAGTTAACAGATCCAATTATTATATTAGAAATTCAAAATAAATATGCTGAAATAACATGGAAATATCTTCTCTATAGATATGGTCATTATCAAGCTGTTCAACGATTTCTTAATATAATATCTTGGCTTGAAGCCCTCACAATTTTTGTCTTTCATACACAAAATCTTACAACATACATCAATGAAATAGATTTACTCGCTGAACAAACTGAACTTACACTTATATTAGATGATATTGATCAAATACTTCCAACAAATTAACATTGATCTCTATTGAACGTTCACTATCATTGATATTCTACGCATTTTGTGGGTGTGGGTGTGGGTGCGGGGTGTAGGTGTGGGTATGGGTGTGGGTGTTGTTATATAATCTCAAATATCCACATACATATCCTACACCCACACCCTAATCTCGTTTGTGATAAATAAAAAACGCACTACTTAAAGATGGCAAAGAACTTATTTTTATAAAACTTGACCAGTCTTTTGTATTTTAATTGTTTTTATATATAGTGATGTTTCAAAACTATCTGCTCTTTCGAATGGCGTCCCAAATGGTATCTTTACATTAATAGTAAAAACCATATATGAAACAATCAAACTCGCGCTGGATTTTTCCTCATCTCGATATAGTCACATTTCTTTGCTATTTGGATGATGAAACAGCTTCTGAGTTAGTATAATATCGTTTATTGACAAAATTATGAAAGATAGTAAAGTTTACAACTTCACTATATTGTATATTTTACTTTGGCACCAGGGATGCCACCTCATGAAGTCGAAAAAGCGGAAAATTGCGGAAACAAAAAACAGAAAAAGCGGAAACTTTTTTTATTGCGGATTTTTAGCATTTATGAGGATTTTGAGCGTTTCTCATATCTATGGCATTCTGTTTTTATTTTAACAAAATTGCAAAATATAAAATATTGTTGAAATGAATAAGAATGACTATACTTCACTTCATGGTATACAAAAGTACCTTCTGCAGCTGCTGTTTCTTCAACCTTCTTGTTAAATTTCATAGTTGATATTATCAATTGTCGATTTATACGAAATGATTTATGTTGTTGTTGTGTCTTTTCAACTTTATGTGATAGTCAATATAATTTTTTCCATCATCATGCACTGAAAAATGTTCGTTAGAGGCAATACAAAGAACTTTAGCTGAATCTCTCTCGCAAAAAATTATGCGAACTGAGGATTAAGTAGCAATTGTAGATTAAACATGCCTTTTTTTCTCTTTTGACAAGCACCTAGTATAGCTTCAACATTTTTATTTTCATTTGATTTCAGAATTGATGATGTTGTTATTAAATGTTCACGATCTGTTTCATCTTCATGTGTAATCTCAATATCTATAGATCGTAAAAAAGCGTTTAAATTTTCGGATTTGAGATTTTGTTTGTGTAAATACAGTAGGCAAAATAAGTTGAAAAGGACTTAACTATCAGTTGAGAGCAAAATGATGTTTTAATTCTGGAACAGGCGATTAGTGCGCAAGCCCTCTAACATAGAAAAACTTTATGTGGTTATCCATTGATTTTATGGATGACATAATAAGAGTGATGATTGACTGGATACCAGAGACCGAAACGAGTCAAAAAAAATTCCACTCGATTCGACTTGACTGAATCATTCAATCGACTCGGCTCGACTCGATATACATCTAAAAAGCATCTGACTCGACTCGACTCGGCTCGGGTCGAGCCGTCGAGTATCGATTCAAAGCCGAATGTTCAGAATAACATATTTCGTCAATTCGAACATTCTAAATATAGTTAAGTATTTGGTCATTTTAATAGCATCACTCTTGTCCCATCACCTTTTTGCGACAAATAATGAAACAATGTAATACGCTACTAAATCCGTTGCGCGTCGCATGCCGATCACTTACACAGACTGATGATCAATTAAGTCATTGCATTCTAATTAATCTTTGAACAGTCAATAATGCACTGAATACAATCAATGGTACTGTACCATTCATTCTAGTTTATTTAGCATCGTCCGTCTATAGCCGTCTATTCATCTTAATGTTTTTTTGACCTATTCATTGGAATGAATTGACATTGTCTCATCTCTATTCATCTGACAATGACGATGACTAATACTGAGGAACGAATGAAAGAATTATGAACAAATTTTTAAAAAGTCGAGTCCTTCGAATTCAACTCGACTCGGTCCGACTCGACTCGACTCGGCTCGACTCGACACATTTCTTAAAACTTCGCACTCGACTCGACTCAGTGGCGGATCTAGGATTTTGCCAGAGTGAGGGGAGCTACTTTTTTGAAGCAGTAAGAAGTATAGATCAGCGCGAATGGAATCATCTTTGTGAGGCTTCTATGTTGGTTAGGGAAGGATTAAATTACGTCGTAAGTTTTACGTGACGTAATGGCTTTTAAAGTTCTATCACCGAAAGCGCCGAACAGGCTAGATCCGCCACTGATTCGACTCGATTCATACCGAGTCGGGTCGAGTCGATTTGCCGAGTATTCGACTCGTTTCGGTCTCTGCTGGATACGTAAACAGTAAGACTTTATTCGACAATAATAAGTTTTGCTCTGTACGTATTTCGAAAATGCATCATCTTTTTATATCAAAAAGCGGAAAAAAAGCGGAACAGCGGAAAAATAGCGGAAAAAAGGTGAAAAAGCGAAAACTTTCCGTAAAAAGCGGAAGAGATGGCATTCCTGTTTGGCACTGTGGTAGGACAAAACATTAGTGTACATGTAACTTGTTGGTAAGCACAGCCACAATAATTACAATCATCCATGAATGTTTGACCATTCATATAATATTCTCCCTTATATTCACAGTCTCCCTTTGATGATGACGTTGATGATTTGTATTCAAATTTTTCACCCAAAGATTGCCCATTGTGATGCCGTAACGTACCAGCTTTTAATGTTATTAATATTGTAATTAAATAAAATAAAATAAACATAAACTGTCTGTTACTTTTCTTCATGTGCTAGTGTATGAATTGAGGCCCAAGACAAATTGCTTACCTACTCTTTCCTTACTCATTTTTCGCGGAAAAAATCGATGTGTTTGCTCAAGAAACTCTTATGCAACTGGTTTCAACTGCGCAGAAAAAGTCTGATAAGTAATCGACGAATGGCGCACTTTGTTGGTTATCAGAGTAGATTTTTTTGGCTTGTAAAAGAAACAGCAAAGTCAATACTCAGGTGAAAGGAAGCTGAATCAACATTGGTCGATCACGACATCATGCAATTTTAGTGCAATTGTAAAGAAAAACCATTTTTGAGATATTGCTGCACAAAATAATAATGAAAAATAATAATGAAAAATATTTTTAAGGGAGAAAATCTTGTCAGCTATTGACCGCTGGATTCTGGAGGCATTTTAATGCGGTATAGAATTGAACTCTGCAACCAACAACAATAAGATAGTTGAGTGATAGAAGCATTACTAAACAACTTGTGTTCGAAGTGGGCGTTTTGCCGATGTTGAGTGAAAGCAAGCATGAACAAAGATTTATCACATTATACGCGACATCATGAGAATGGACTATTAGTTGACGAGAAAAATCTGTGTTTCGAAAAGATTGAGCAGAAAAGTATTATCCATTTTTTGAGAATAAGTCGCTTGGGCAGAATTCTTATAACTTTTGAAAGGAAAACGATAGAGACCTGTGGTTTTCGTTGTTCAGTAGAGCACAACAGGGCACATATTACTATGAAATAACCGAGCCGTCAAGTAAGGTTTACCATGATAAACCCTCGAATGCAAACTTGGCGAGATTACCATTCCCTGAGCGCACGGCCGATTTTGATTTCCAAATAACGAAACGAATAGCGCGGACCGAGATTTATAATTCTAGACCAACCCCAGGTCTGTAGTTTTTATGGTTCAGGAGTTATATACATTCTTCGTAAAGGTATCGACTCCTATCAGGTCATTAAACGTTGGCCAAAATTCTAAATACTGCCACGTATCTCACCGTACCTAAAATCTTACATGTCAAATGTTTATAAATTTTTGTTTGTATCCAAGTATGAGTAGATATCTTTGCAAAAAACACTTATAACTCTCAAATTGTAAGCGATAAAGACGTAGAACTGGTCGAAAATTGTAAATCTCGATTCAAACTATTGATTTCACTATTTGGAAATCAAAATCGTTCATACTCTAAGGAATTTGAGCGTTGCAGAGTTTGCATTCAAAGATTTATCATGGAATACTTTAGTTGAAGGCTCGGTTATTTCATAGTAATACGTGCCCTGCTGTTCTCTATCCAACAATGAAAATCACAGATCTCTCTCATTTTCCTTTCAAAAGTTATAAGAATTCTGCCCAAGCGACTTATTTTCAAAAATGGATAATAGGTTTGTT